ATAGTGTGGCAAGTTGCTGCTGTTAGTTCACATACCGTAAGGTCAGCTAACAGTCTGCAAAATATCAAACTATTTGACTGGACGTTGCCGAAATATAGAGACTTATTCTGCAGAACTGCTGCCCTTTTATACGCATTCGGGGGAGGGAGGGAGGCTTTGCAACCGCGGACTCCCCCCTTCAAATTATCCTGGATCCGCCTCTGCTCACCTTGCGTTATAACTGATTGGCAAGCACTGGCAATTTCACTGGGAAAGCCTGACAATGCAGTGACCTTTGGTAGTTTGGCTATAATACGCACGTAAGAGCAGTTCTGAAGGCAGGTTCTAACTATCAGCAGATTGGCTAGTGTTTGACAGATACAGGGAAGAAACAATAAAAGGTGATACTCGGACACGATTCACAAAGTCAGTGCTACCCATCAGACAAGACATCTGATTTATCACATTCCCTGACCCTGAGAACATAGGTGTAGACACTTCATTTGTCATGTTTGCTTGCTTAGTTACAGAGATACAGAAGTTAAATGGTTTTTCAGTAATGGCGATCCTAATTTGCATATTTAGGAAAATTGCGTAAATCTAATTTTAACAGAAACACCTTAATAATGTTCCTCGACCCTGAAAATATAGGTAAAGGCACTTCATTTGTCATATTTGCCTGTCTAGTTCCAAAGATATTGCAGAAAATAGGAAATCTGGCGGCCATTTTGTTTTTTTGCAAATTAGACCGTTAAAAACGCAAAATTTTGCTTGGGAACCGGGTTAATTGGAATCAGCTTCCCAAAATTATGCTAATTAGCCTGGTTCCCAACTTTTACCCCAAAATGCCCCTTGCCTCTTATGCAGAGCCTTTTTTCAAAATTCTCACTAGACTACTACTATTACCGGTACTACTACTAAAACTACTAATACTGCTGCTGCTACTAGCCATTTTCACTTCTAACTAAATATTTCATCTTCCAAGAAGACCTGCATTTACTCGGTTTATCTGGGAATGACCTTAACAGAGAAGGACATGACCTAGAGACACTGTAAAGACGCGTGACTAGATATTGCGATATTCAAATATTGTTATCTGCTGTATCAGATTCAAGGCCACAGTATTTAAAGGGGATATCATGTGATTTGCTTAAAAATCTGTAACATTTAAATCTTCCCGTGCATTTTTTAACCAGTCTGTATTAGAAGTTATTCATATATTACCATGTCAAATGAACAGCGCGTGGGTTTTATCAATTAATAAAGATTATGTTGTCCCAAATGTCACCAGGCTATATTTAAGCTGCATTTGTGGAAGTAATAAAAAACCGTTCTCCATATCTGTTTGGGGTCGGGTACAGACGCATTGCGTTAGATGTGATTGTAAGCACATTGCATTGGCATGGCTAAATTATCGATACTTTATCCTGTTAAATGTGTTAGAAATCAGATAGTCCAAAATTTAATTAGGATTCCCCGTAGGGGAATACTATTGTTTTTGGTAGTATTATAGTTATTATTATTATTCTTTCCGCGCGTTTTTTTTCGCGAAAAATCTGAAATAATTTACATAGGTAGCATATGGTAAGAATATGCCATAGACCCAGTTTCAGTGACCTTGACCTACTTTTCAAGGTCACAGAGGCTTTTAAAGGCAAAATTTGTAAAATTTGAAATTGACATTAGGCCTTAAGTAAAAGCCATATGGCTATGGGCCTTATGGTCAGTGATACTGAGGTGAATCCACATATAATGACCTACTTTTATGAAAGTAGGTCAAGGTCAAGGTCGCTAATGGCCAAACGGGCTCAAAAAAGGTTTGTTTCCGAGATCTCAGAAACCGGAAGTCTCAGAGNATAAGGATTCCCCATAGGGGAATACTATTGTTTTTGGTAGTATTATAGTTATTATTATTCTTTCCGCGCGTTTTTTTCGCAAAAAATCTTAAATAATTATCATAGGTAGACTATGGCAAGAATATGCCACAGAACCAGTTTCAGTGCCCTTGGCCTACTTTCCAAGGTCACGGGGGCTTCTAAAGGCAAATTTTGTTAAATTTTAAATCGTCATTGCCCTTGACCTAATTTTCAAGGTCACGGGGGCTTTTAAAGGCAAAATTGGTTAAATTTGAAATTGTCATTAGGCCTAAAGTATAAGACTTATGGCTAAGAGCCTCATGGCCAGTGATACTGAGGTAAATCTACAGATATTGACCTACTTTTATGCAAGTAAGTCAAGGTCAAGGTCGCTAATGGCCAAACCGGCTCAAAACAGGTTTGTTTCCGAGATCTCAAAAACCGGAAGACCCAGAGCCCTGATGATAGTGGCAAATGATGCCCTATATATTTATCTAAGGTTAGCCGGACTTTGGTAGCGACTGCTTCATAACTTTTTTAAATAAAGATTTTTAACCATTTAAGACATTGCAGAAAGCGTGACTTTGGTAATTTCTCCATGAAAGACTGGTTTTGGTCATAGGATGCTATAGTAAACTACCCAAAACATATATCCCAAACCGCCAAATCAAATGTCAAATTTGACCTTGACCCTCATTTTCAAGGTCATTTGGCTATTTCATGGAGAAATATTGACGTGGGCTAAAAGTGCTCTTTCAGTATATGGGGTCAAATTTAACCCATGACCTTCGCATGACCTTGTAAGTTCCCATTGCCTTCAAGTTCAAAGGTCATTTGCAGGGGAATCCTTCGCCACTGGCTGAAGAGCCAGTTGCAAACAAGTTTTAATACTTCTTGTTGTTTTCAATGAACCAAGTTTTACTAAAAAAAGGACTTAATCATGTTAAGACATTTTCAGTAAAATGTTCCCCTAATGTATATACAGGGTTACCACTTAATATGGAATATTATTTTTGGCGAATAAATTTTCTACAAAATATTTAATTTCTCTCTAACTACTTTGAATCCAAAGCTGAGGTGTCACTCCATGTGTAGCCAGATGTGTTACCTAATTACCACATAACTCTCGAAACAATTGATGCATGCAGTTGCATGTTCTGTGGTCAGAAATGTGAGGGGTGGTCTTTTCGGCAATTTCTGCCCTTGTATAAAAACGCATGGGTTTGGTCAATCTTTGGAGCGTGTTTAGAGAAGCAACAAAGGGATCGCTCTGAAACTTGACAGGTACCTTAGTGAAGATATGGTACGACAGCAAAGCAACGCAGCTTACTATGGGATTCTTGCTCTCAGAGAAAATGGCCAGAAACGGACAGCCATTGCCAGGTAATTCAACATTTATCAGGAACCGTTTGTGAAGTCCTCAAAAGAAATGCTGCTACAGGGGCACCTACTCCAATACCTCGACC